AACTTGCTGTTGCAACTTATCTGTGAGTCTTACAATACTGAGTTATTGTGTTATACTTGTATCAGGGCTGAGGCAATTTGATGGAATTCATATGAGAAAATAAGCAGGGAACAGTTGTACTGTTATGTCGTAAACACAGTAACAGCACTGCTTTTCCTTGTCCCACACCAGTATATGTGACCGTGGTATTTCCCTTCTTGTTATATTGAATTAAGGCCGGCCTTATTACCGATTCTTTATCTTCAAAATCTTAGTACAATATTTTATATTTATGCTAGCAGCATAGAGTAATACGACAAAAACATTCTAATTGCATCTGAATTACTATAAATGGGAAATGCTTACAAGAATATGATTGAAGACGATAAAATTAACCACGATTAAATTAAATTCGATAAAAACAATCGTTCATCCGACTACGATTGCGAACAAAAATTTCCATAAATATTAGAGAAAGTATTATTTGTGGCTAACAGCGTTATTGGCTAACTCGGGCTTCATTATTAATGTGGACTACGTTTAATTTCGTAATTCAGAAAGTCCAAATGTGCATAATGGACGCCGCGCTGACGAGCGATAATTGGTTGACGCTTTATCTCGATCAAACATGGTCGCTGGGGCTAAAGTAAGACGACATTCGCACAGTATGCTCGGTCTGGTATGAAATCTGCCACGTGTTGATGTAAAACAGTGCACAAGTTGCCATTCCTCAAGTATTATTTACTCCCACCTGTCCGTTATGACATTTGCTCGAAATAATCCGAAATGTTTTATTCGCTTGTATCGCGCTAACAAAATTAAAAGTAAATACTTTTTTTTTTCGTAACAGCTGAAAAAAGACGTGTATGTACTATTACATTATGTCCCCCTGATTTCGTTTACCGCCACTCGAGTGGAAGCCTGACAAACGCAAACAAAATAAATATATATTTTAGGATGAGAAACATGATTGTCAATTAACATTGCCGGCCGATGAACTCATTCAGTAATAGTTCTCTTCAAATGTACGCAAAATATTGCTCTCAGAACAAAGTTTGAATTAAATTTCAATCAAAATTAAACATTATCTAGACGTCGGTGGCCGATTCTTTATCCAATCATGCCAGGGCGTACAATAACTTAGTCGCAGCGCAGGTGTGCTGTTGAAAATTTTCATCAAAATTGTCACGAATTTTCAGGTATACGATCCATTTAAATTCGCGCATAATGGAAACTTCGGCTATTTAGTGGAAAACTGAACTCGCAGTTTGCTGGTAATTACGCCACACATCATCTCGAGTGATGCGTAAAAGAGTGTGTTGTGTCGAACTTGAAAAAAATGACGACAGACAAGTAAAAAAGTCAATCACGAAAAATTCATTTTCATTTATTTACGTCCCGTAATTTGTTGCTATTTGGAGTGCCGCATAAACGCATTCGGCAGTTTTAACGCCACCGAAAACAACGATTAACAAATGTTCAATGTTTTTCTTTCGGTCCCGTAATTTGGTGTTATTTGGAGTGCTGCATAAACGCATTCGGTAGTTTTAACACCGCCGAAAACAACGAACACACGTTCAATGTTTTTTTTTCGGTCCCGTAATTTGGCGTTATTTGGAGTGCCGCATAAACACACTCTGGCAGATTTAAAGCCGCCGAAAACGACGATTTAACAAACGTTCAATGTTTTTTTTTTCGCTAAATCGCTCTCTTTTTCCGAATCGCGTAAATCTGATTCGAATCGATCCGGAAAAGATGCGATTCGAATCGATCCGATTCGTAAATCCAAAAGTGGCATCCCTAGCAATCCCATATTTGATGTTAGTACGCTGTTAGTTGGCATATATAGGTGGGTCCACAGCTACTAGACTACAGTCACTCTTACCCAAGTTAGGCATTTAAGGATTTTTGATACCAATTTTTCACGAAGGATGCAAACACCACAGCATTTCTTGGCGTGCATGTGGCACATACTTGTATTGGGCCAGTAAAGTATTGAACATGTATCCCGTCTTAGTTATACCGTTTAATTATTATGTAGATACTGTTACAAATAAACACACATACATTTTAACCTGAATTCATGATAAGAACATGCCGAACGACTGTTAACGAGCAAAATCTTAGGTTTCTTAGTCTGCAACCTATAGTAACCTCAGAGGCGAAACGAGCGATTTCTTTTTCTTATCGTAACGCGGATAACGTCAGCATTCAAATAAGACAAGAGTGAAGCTTATTACACAAACCAGGCGCGATTTATTCAAGTAAATGTCATCGCTTGTCGACTACTCACCTGCAATACTAAACCGTCTAGGCTTGTTTTTTTGTGTTTTCTGAGATAATGATTGATTTGCTTTCTCTCTCAAAACTTTTTCTTGCCGAGTAAACACAGCGTAAATGTACGCAAGAACTTGCTGTAACAGCATTTTAACTCACAGCTTGACAAGAAAATTTCTTTGTTTTCTTCACATCGCGAAAATTTGACCTCAATATACACAGCTGATTTGATAAGGGCGTAAAATGACCTCGTAAAACGACGAAAATAACAAAATACACAAATACAATGCGTTTACCGTCTCTAGGCCCTCGGCGAGAACAATGAAGTCGCAGAATAATTGGGTTGCAAGACATTTTTTGAAATCTTTCGGATCATGCATGGATCATGGTTAAACTCAAACATTTTGGGTTTTGAAATTGGTTTCATTCATGTGCAGACCACTATGAAATAGTATTGACCCCCAAGAATACATTTAATTTAGCCATAATCCCAAATTATGACACAGGGTACCCCTTTATGACCAGGCCGATTCTATTAGGAGAACTTCGTGAATACCGATTCTCGGAAAATGGGAGAAGAAGGCACTTTACGAGATGTCTGTTTTGACGCGCAAAAAATTCTCTCGAATAATAACGATACTTCGAGAATACCATTTTTGCCTTTTACGAGTAAGAGGGGGCTTAACTAACACGTTAAACGATAAAGAAGTTTGGCGAATGGCGCCCCTGATGTGTAGTTTTTGATATCTGCTGTACACTTGTTGAAATCTGCTGCACAGTTGTGGTTTTGTCAACTGCAATTGAAATCATGATCAATATTAGTAATATGCATAAAAATATGTGTTTACTTAACATGTAGTACCTTTGGAAGACTTTTTAACGATTCTGTTTTAGTTGATTATTTTGACCGTATCCGGTGCACTCGTTTATTTTTTGCTATTAATTATTAAAATAGATAACATAGGTTCAATTTATAGATAATCCAATGACCTGCCCTACGCAACCACTTCAGTAAAACTCCAGATGAAATAGTGTAATGTATAGCAGGCCTTTATCTGTCCTTTCGTTTTATATGTTTCCTATATATTTCATGTAGATTTCGACCCAGTCAGTCAACGCATATACATTTTCTTACCTGATGAATTGGATGAATGGTAGATGATTTCAATTGCAAAATTTTGCCAATTGTCACAAGCCCAATGTTTAGAAGCAGAAGCATACTTCACAGTAATCGGGAAAATATTATCTATTCTGATCCATATTATTTTGGTGCATGCGTTGACGATAGAAACGTCGACTAAGGTATTTTCAGGGTAATCACAAAGGTCCTTGCCTCCAAGATAAGCTGCAACGATGATGAATTAAATTCAAGATAATATTAATACTGCTGTTGGTAAAAAAGACTTTATCTAAAATAGTGAGAGATCCGCGACAATTTCTGGCTGGAATGAGACTCATCTCCACAATTTCAAAAGTAAAACCTCGTTTTCAGATTTACAATTTTGAGTGGTCAAAATCCAACTGAAGCTGACAATGCTATTTCCATTATATTCAATGGATCTGATTGGTTGTGAGCATACATTTATGTTTTCTGCAAGAAGTTCGCGTGTCAACACTGAAAATAATTTAACAATTGAGTAATCTCTTGCTATTGTTGAATTATTTTAAGAAACACTTTTATTACTGTGAAAATCACTGTGTCTTCGGCGGTCTATTTCGCGATTTACTTGAATACCAGCTCACATACTTAGCATCTTACCTAGCAGCAGAAGCGTTTTGAGCATTTTTAATCCAGTAATCTTCATTGGCCTCGACTCAACTAATTCTATTCCATTCGGGAAAATAATATGAAAACGAACGCTTTCTTGATTGTTCGATAACTCGATACGGCAAATACCTGAAATGAAGGCGAGTATGCTATACTGTATTGCAAGGTATAGCCAATGTTATTCTGATGATTCTTCTTGTAGCATGACAGGATGTAGCATGACAGGAAATATTCGTAAAAGGTCACTAGTATCCACCTAGGGAGAGTATTACGTAGCTTATTGTTATAGAAACACCGTCACCGTCTTTCACCTGCAGACAAGTATTATGTATATTTCGAGCAATTCATGATTCATAAATTTCAAGTCTTGAGTCATCTTTGTATAACGAACTTTTCAAATTCGTTTGAAGTTGCAATTCTTGATGCTTATTTGTAGTTGAAACTAAAAAGTGGTCAAAGTTGTCCACGCTAACATTTTTTTTATATGAAAAGTGCCTCATTTTACGGACACTAAGACGCACCCGTCAATAAATTGGTTATATTGGGAGTTTCATTCATACATAAGACGCATCGGGCTATAAGACGTCATGGTTTATGAAGTAGGATCGGAGGAGGAATAGGAGTATTCTATTCAAAGAAAACGTAAAACGTCAGTTTGTTTATAAAACACTAGTGCCGGTACTGTTCTGAGTGTTGGAAATAAACCATTACCTGTTTCATACATCAGGCACGTCAATTTATAAAACGCACGATCGATTTTTGAGAAAAAAGACTTAAATGCGCCTTATGGTCTTTAAAATGAGTGAGAGTCGAAATTTTCGAATGACTTGAATAAAAGACCGATTCATTCCAAAGCTTTTGACATTTTTTTTAGCGATTTGTGACATCATGTATAATGCAACATGCTATTTGTCTGTTGCCATCGCGGCTAAAAACGTTACCTTCAAATATGCATAATCACTTTGCAGCCGAATCGGTTGGAAATAAGGTTACATATAGTACGATGCGACACATTATCAGATGGTGGAAGAATATTTGCTTGCAATTAAAATTTCCAGATGGCAATATATTTCTGTATGGACAAGTACAGGTGTGTGCATAGTAAAATATTTTATTGATGTTATATTAACATACAGTAAAATAATCAGAGAATTCAAATCTTGAAGCATTATTACGTAATATTTATTTGCGTTCATAGTCAGAATATGATATCCGAATGTTTCTATATTTGGTGTTTTGGTATACAATCTCACATTATTTGCTCAAGTTCACGTTATATTTTTCAGAACGACCAACTTGTACATACATTAGGTGATCAGATCTCTCCCCCATCAAAAGTTTCGCGTTGTAGGTTAGATATTTGTTGCAGTTAAAGAACACAATGATTTAAAACAAGCTCTTGTTTTAACATAAAATGTTTTTTCAAATTGATAAAAAACAAAACCCTACTGGTGAGTCATTCTTGAGTTGTAGGTCAGGAAATCAGCTATGTGGTTGAATTTTAATACGGGCCTAATTGGGACCTTTTTACACCATTCCGGACCAACTGTTTACAAAATAAAATATGGATGACTAGATTTTTTTGCATTAAGTGTTATCCAAAGGAAAACATAATGAGAAGTTTAATGAAGTAGTCCGGCGTACGGAGTTTCTATGAATCAGCTGAAACTGATAAAGCGTCTCACAAGGGTTCATAGGTTAAGTATCCTATTTATTCACATACTATTTTATGTTATACAATTTAGTATTGCATCGTGGACCGATTTAATAGATATAGTTGGCGTATAGAAGACCTACAAACCATAGCAGTATCGTTACTTTTTAAACACGAAATATTCTGCCCGTTGTATTATTTATTTAGTCTTTAAATGACGCAACGGCAAAATATTCGATATCAGTTTAATGCCATTCATTTTACTGTTCTATTACTTGCAATAACGTAATAATTGTAATTTCACCATGCGTATATGTAATGAGAGGATACGGTGGAAATTATCATATGAACATTCGAACTCAATAGGTGAAGAGTTTATGTTTATAGCTACAGCTTCCGTATAAATGACAATGTTCCACATATTACAAAGCAACTTCCTAAAGCTAACGTTTGATTTTTATGAAAGGAAAACTGGTGTTCCTATCTTTTTGTCTTATTAAAACCGCGTGTAACCTCGAGGTAAAATGAGCAGAATAGGATAGAAATTTGTTTTTTACTTCGAAATAGAAAAACTCATACTGATAACTTGAAATATTGTGCAGAAACGGAGCCTCTTGGATTGCCGATTCAGGATAACCACAAGTGCACATATATACAATGATTTCATGTTCTCTTTATGAAAAAGGTGCGACGTTAGTACAGGCAGCTAGTTTTTGTGTTAAACCTTACAATCATGTCGAAATGTACACAGCGGCATTGAATACTGCAGGAGATTAAATTTTGAAGATAATCAGTTTTGTTGTAGAATAAGTTTTATACTAAATTTGTTAGTTGTTGCGAAATAATATTTATTCATTTATACTTTATTCAGAAAGCTTGGCGCACATTAAATTGTATGCCATTAGACACTGTATGGTATAAAGAAAACGAGTATCTTACTTTTAAATCGACCAATCCAAAAAATGGATAAAATGTTATTATTTTCATTGATAGGTAAGATTCCAGTTTTCTATTTGTGGGACGGGGTGAAATTCTTTGACGGATTAGCTGAATATCATGCCTCATGTCCTGTTGCAAAGGAGTAATATTTTTATTACAGTGACTATTTTCTGGTAAAATATAAAAACTAAAGATGCAAGTGATATATAAATGAGAAAGCATCAACGTTTTATTTACACTCACTACTTTCTTGAACTGTAATAACGCTGATCATTCATTTTTTAATTTTTTTTGTAGCAGTGACAAACACGTGTTTGGGACAAGGTACTAAATCAATTGATCTGTGTGCGAAGAATCCTGTGCAAATTAGTAGTGTAAAGTGGTGGTCGAAAACCTGGAGCTTGAACGGAAATGACTGCACACATCAAAGTAAAGCACTTTTACTGAAACTCACGGATATGCAACTTTATGACAGTTCCTCTACGAATTGCTTTGGCTCGTTGAAGATTTCAGGTGAAAATAATTAATGAGCATTTGGAAAATGAAATCTTGTTTCTGTGTATATGATTTATTTCGCGTGAAACACTGATTCATCAATTACCACTTGCAGTTCTGTGCATAGATACTAAATTAAAACTGAATTTAAATCTGCACTTGTAAAGTTCGATAGAAGGGAAGCGTTTCGATTAAATCAAACTACTCCAAATGTCGGAAAAGAGCCATTGCTTTGGCTTCACTTAATGTCTAATATCAAGTTGTTTTAATTTACATGCAAAATTATATTTAATTCTAGTACGTGATATCAAAGAAGACATGGAGATTTGCAAATATAGTTCTGGCGAATGCTTGTTAATAACGGATGGCCAACTTGTTCCCATCAACACAACCCTTATGCGGGAATCCGAATGCAACAAGATCAAATGGATTTTTAGTGATGATATTTTTCCTGTAACGATAACATACAAACGGAAGCCCTCGGATCCACCGAGTTTCAGAATGGATATCTTATATCTCTCCCAAGAACACGGGGACACAAAAGAAAGTAAGTTCATTCTAAATAATATTGACACATATGTTTCGAACAAGGCTTCCTTCCGACAGACCTTTGATCTTGCAGTGTTTCACAGACCAGGAATCTGCCGCCCATTTAGTACGCCACGAATGAGTAGCCCGCGCATTTATAGTATCCGTTGGTTGTTAATACATTTACAGAAAGGATTGAAAAGTGAATTAAATTGAACCCTTTCAGTGATATTGGCACCTTTACTCAAACGCTCTCCAGTTGAAGTTGTTTATTTTCGGGAATCTTTTTCAGGTTTCAAATCGACGAAAGTTCACGAAACCCCATATGATTTCAAAGTAACGAACAATCACATCACACATGAAATTGAATAATTGGCCTTGAAAAATTCTTTATTCCCGTAATAGCTCTGTAGCGTATATTGCTAACATTTCTATTTCAAATCATATCTAAATTTCCAGCAATTGTAATTAAAATGTTTTCATTCGTATAAAAGATGTGCTCCAACACCAGTCCAATACCAAATTTGGTACCCCCGTATAGTGTGCGTACCCGGTTGGGGTTAGGCCATACTTTCATGGCGATTTTCCTTATTTTAGTTTTATTACGAGTTCGGGGACTGTCTATGTTATCCAAATGAATATAGCCCTGCCCATAGGCTCCAGTCTCTTTACACAACTTTAATGTAAAGTAGGCGAACAAAATTATTTAACTCCATATTGGTACACATACATAACCAACATCGAACCTATCTCAATCACTGAAGTAATACAAAGTCATAATACCCGTTACCTAGAATTTGTTATTGTCTTATTTACTTCAAAAACGTACCGCGCCGTATTAAATATTTGTTTGCCATTCCAGTTGACACGACCACTTCACCGGAAACAGTGGAAATCAATACTCTGTCGAACACCATGCATTGGACCATAGTATCCAACGACACGGAACTTGTTTCACTTCCTGAACAAAAACCGCAAAGTAGTTATATCTACCTCACTGTCAGCATTATACTCGGAATCCTCCTAGGAATTGTGTTGGTTGCTCTGTTGGCTCTCACCATGAGGTAATAATTATGCCGTTAATATATTATATATGCTTATAAATGTATTATTAATATATGGTGACCGTACATTTGAACCCATGTACATTTGAACCCATGCGTATATCCACGGGTTCAATCTACATGCGGGTGCTAAAACCCATGGGTTAGGGTTAGTATGGGTTTAACTATCCGTGAAACAAAAAAAATTCCATAGGTGCAATAGCATACAGGTGCAATTGTCATGGGTTCAAATGTACGTGGGTTCAAATGTAATGGAACCTTAATATATAGGTGACCGTACATTTGAACCCACGTACATTTGAACCCATGCGTATATCCACGGGTTCAATCTATATGCGGGTGCTAAAACCCATGGGTTAGGGTTAGTATGGGTTCAACTATCCGAAAAACAAAAAAAAATCCATAGATGCAATAGCATACAGGTGCAATTGTCATGGGTTCAACTGTACGTGGGTTCAAATGTAATGGAACCATTATAATATGCTTATATTACTTTATATTAACTTGAACTACTTCAAATTTTTTGTAATTGTTAATTGGCATATTCTCACAAGTATTGCAGCTCATGTCAATTTAGTGATTGCTCTTACTGCTGCAATATGAGTCATATTTATGCCTGAGTAAGTGTATATAACCTTGATTTGAATATATGCTCTAAAATATTATTATATTATCATTAAAACAAATCGATGGTTACAGAACTTGCTGTTACCCAAAAGACAACGTTCGTACAAAAAGAATACATTCCAATCATATTTCATGAACCGGTAGAATTACTCACATCGCCTAAAAATTAATTTGATTCCATTCAACTCAGCCTCACCTGATTCAAACGAGAAAGACAAAAAGAGTAAATATTGTAATGCTTTGTTATATAAAGATTATTGCCAGAATTTCCCATCCACACTGCTCAAGATGGTTAGACTTTATCCTGCTGTATTTCAGTACTTTCTGTTCGTATCAGTAAATACCCACAGACAGTAAAACGCAATGATATCTCTATTCTTTCAAGGAATGGGAGTCTGAAACGAAAGCTCGAAGCAGAAAATCTGAACTCTCAGAACCCAACAGCAATCTCGGTAATTGCAGGTGGAAGTGGCGAACAGAATCCGTACGACTTTGCCAACGAAGAAGTCGCAGGAACAAGCAACAATGCTTTCGCAAACGTAGCGGATGCGGTTTACAGCGTTGTAAACAAACAATAAAAAAAGAGCGCGATGCCGCAGTGATGATGCAGTTCATTGACCAATTATTATAAGACAAAATTAATTTTCTCAAGTCGAATGCTAGAATTTACTCAGTAATGATTTTCAATGTAGGCGGAAATTATTTTGTTGAATGTTTTTTCATTGTTTTAAATTGCTTGTCTGGGGAAATCTGATTTTGGCTAGACGAAACGTTACAGAAATACATTTGTGTTAGTGTTAGTCCAGCAGGACTCCTGAAATGCATAGTATAATATATTTATTCCTGCTACAGCATCCTTGCATTATACGCATACAGATACACTAGCTCAAAGACTTTGGGGAAAAATTAGAAAGTTAATCTTGCATAACCTCTAATGACAAATTTATATAAATCGGAATTACGGGAATATGGGAAGTCAATGACATAACTACTTTTCTCAGCTGAGAGATAACATATTTCCTAATAATTTTGAGTTTATTTCACTTTACTTCGCTATACTTTTATTTTTACATGTTTGCGTGCTTCAACATTTTTTTGCTTGGTGTAATATAGAGGGTACTCCCGAAGTACGTGGACCAAGAAAGATGGTGGACACTGGAACATAGTATGTGTACCAGTTTGGATTAGGCCATAATTTTATTCCAGTTTCCCTTATTTTAGTTATATTAGCTGAATGGGCTAGCAGCCAGTTGTCTTTCTGAAAGTCAAAACAAAGTTTCAATGGAAATCCAATGAAGCGTGATGTCGTAAATAAATACGAGTTTTTCATGCCTTTTGAATTTATATGGTGTCAACTTTAAAAGGTGTAAGCAAACGGTTATTTTGTAACGTAGTATCCGATTTTGTAATCATTAGTGAATACAACACAGTGGGATAGTATTCATGTGGCAATTGAAACTACGTACCCATTACCCACTCCAATTTCGTGGTCGGTCGAAGAGTCTAGCGTACAAAAAAACGTTTTTAAATGAGATGATGTTGAGATATGTTATGATTGATATTTATAAATTTTAAAACACATAAGTTGAAGTTTAAAGAGGACAAACTCAGACAAGAATTAAAAGAATTGAGAGATATTAGTAGTTGTTTCCCACTGCGAGGTGAATATAGGTTGGAAATAATGGAATCTTCCATGTGAAGCATGCCTACCCAATTTATTCAAACGTCGGTGAGGAATTCTAACCTTAAGTCAAACTCTTTAAGCACTAGTCTAGTGGGTTTTAAACTTTTTTGAGATGCCACCCCCTCACCCAATCTTTTAGAATTTGTCAAGTCTCGTGCCCATCTCAATAATACCTAGCTAACAATAAACTACAAATAACAGATAGTAAGGCGAACGTACGTTTTCTTTAAAAAGCATTTGGGAATACGAGGATCGAACGTAAATATTCAAAATAAAGAAATGTAAATATTCAGAATAAGATAGACAAGATTAAATCTAACACATATTTTTGTTTTTAATTAGCTTCACGCCCCATCAAAAACATTGTGTACGACCCCTCGTGGGGTGCGGCCCACCATTTGAGAAACACTGCACTAGGACTATACCACCACTTTCCTGGCAAAGATATCCGAGTGAACGCTTGGTTGGATATTCAATTGGCGTGCAATATAGAAGAAAGAAATATAGAATATCATTTAATTATAAAATCGAACGACAAAATTTTTGGTGAAATATTTAGTCCCACAGTAAATGAAAAAAAACTTGAAAAATATAAAAAACTTTTTAGCAACTTCTATGCTTAAGTACTGGAGGAAAAGCTTGATCAGAAACTTGTTCTTGATGAAAAACCGAAGACAAGCGAGGATTTCTTTAAAGGTATAGTTGTTTCAGAAGCTTTCACCATTCATACCATTCTGTATTCTACTTTTATATTAATTATTGAACACATGCACAAACCATCATTTAAATACGTTACCACACAAAGTAACGCAATAAGCAAGCCCTCTTCACAATCAATGCTGTACTACATATAAAACATGGCTGTAGGCAAGAAAAGATAGGCATGTTGAAGCATATCCCATGTTCTTTCATCAGTTAGTTAGGATTTCCTACTGTAGCTGTGATAATAAACCTGTTTTTTTTTGCGGATAAATTTTTCCATTTCTGGGTGGTAAACTTTGACTATTAGTTTGGTAGTAAATTTTGTACACCTGATTCGGAAAGTAAATCTGATAATTGTTTATTTAAATAAGGGTTAAATATGAAAAAATGGTTAGAAAACACCTGTATAAAGAGACAAGCATGTCTTATTGCCAAAAATTCAAATCATTATTTATGTAAAAAGTCATTACATACTACTTCTACCTTTGCACAAGAGAGCAAACTAAAATTCATTTAGTAATATCTGATAATCTTTAAATGGCTGAAAATTACGATTCACAACCTAACTCAAAGCTCTCAAACTTTCAATCTACTTTTGTGCACGCGTATATCAGTTTTGCATAAATTTGATAAAGACCGAATTTGTTGGGGACGATGAAACCTTCCTCGTGGGAGCCGTTAGGACCAGGCGATGCCGTGAACATTTATTTATTTGTACGTTTCATAAAGTTTAATTTTTGGGGAATAATCTGTTAAACATGAAAACCGCTTTTTATAACTAATTTGAATTCTTCATTGAATTTCATATTCTAAGCCTGAAACAATAAATTATGTTTAGTTATCTAGTGGTTCTAAACCTATTTTTCAAGCGACCCTAATTTTTTTAGAAAATAAATTTAGGTATAATCCCGCGAAGGATATGTTCAAACACTATTCGGTATGTAATGCTTATGCCTTGAATGGTTACAAGATTACCTTACTTACTATTAACAGCAATAGCTTTGATACTTTTCACATATACAATTAAAAATGAACAACACTCCAATACGAATATAAAATAAGCAACGACATTTTCTAAAAATTAAAACAAAACTTCTATTTGTTGAATTAACTGCTCACACAACTTATTACACCTTGCCTTGGGACACATGGGACTCAAATTTAAGATGTGTAACTTGCGATTCCAACACAGTTGATTCTTTCATTCGGAGCTTTGGCTCCTGTGAATCAAAGTGGCTACAGCAGTATTGTGTTAGAAGCAGTGGGGATTTGAGCAAAGTCGGAGTCATAAAGTAGATTACTACCCATTAATAACACATCACAGTAGGTATAAGTCGGAGCGGTAAATATGGGGCGCATTATGATAGTTCAAAGCTGTCAAGAACAAACTTTTTCTTTTCATTTTTCAAGTTTTTTTTTTCATTTCTTCGTTGTTGCATCATTTGTGATTTATTTGGTTTCTTTTGGTAAGAACTAGAATATTACACCAAAGGTTTATGGGTGGTTTTATGAGAGTTTGCATAGCTACTGATAATATAGTAAATTAAAACCTCATATTGTGGTCAATCTTGCTTTTCATATTTAGTCATATTTGAGATGCTACTTTCCTGCCTATAACCGAAAGTATTATCAATCACTCATGCTCGGATTATCAAAGACTTTAGAACGATTAATTTAAATAAAAAATTGGCATAAGGCAGAAGTAACAATACAATGTGCTCTTTGTTATCTGCGTGACCTTGCTACTACAGGTTTCTCCTTTCAGCTCAAAAATGAAGCTGTGTAAAAATCAAAATAGTATCTATAACAGATATGATCAAGGGGTAGTTCGCGAATTCATATCCCTGAATACTTCGTACCCAGGTTGTGCTATTCATCAAATCTCAGCATTACATTCTATCTGTATTCCTATAGTTAAAGGTTTTTCGAATTGAAAGTTTAATATATTTGGATTTTGGAGCGCACGTTGATGGTATATAATATATGAATACAATAAAATGAATATATATACTGTATTATATATATGTATGTGGGTCCAACAAGCCTTGTTAAAATAGTAATTTTTGATAACAGCAAACTATGGAAACATGGCACCTAGGACAAGCGATAACCATTACTCGTCTATATTTCATCCAAGCCAAATATTGACTGACAGTCAGAAGTCCTTGTTTGAAGCGTTAGCAAATACTAAGTTACAACAGCTATAATAAAAATGGAATAAGCGCAATGTGAATAAATATTAGTGCTTTGTGCCCTTTCACATTAGTTTGGTGGCGAATTTTTTATGTATGAGCAAGCGTTTCTTAAATAACGTAGTGGCCAATATCTATTAATACCTCAAGTGTTAGAGAATTCAAATCTGAACCAAGTATAGTAGATTGCGATTGAGACGACGTATTCATGCCAATTCCTAATTCTGAAATAGGAAAGCTCACTGTAGAAGCTGAAGTTTTTAGAAAAAGTAGTTGTAGTATGTTTTGCAAAAATTCATAGACCTTAGAGATGTATTGGGTATCGTTTAGGCCAGTAGTTCTCAAACTTTCCAAGCCGCGTCCCTTTTAGAAATTTTCAAGTCTTGCTCCCCACCTAATGAATAACTTTCTAACAATAAGCTACAAATAACGCGGGGAAAATATGTGGACGGAACGTAGCTATACAAGGTAATGTAAATATCCAAAATGACGCAGGCAAGATCAAATCTAACGAATATTTTTATTTTTAAATATCTGTACGCGCTTCATCGTTTGAGAAACCACTGGTATAGGCAATAACGACCATTTATTCAATATTTGTAGCGGTATTGGCTAAAAATCTACCGACATTTCAGATATATTCAGATGTTTGATCTGGTCTAGAATGTTTTAAAAGATAAGATAGGACACGGATGTTGGAATAATTTTTTGTGAGGAGGGATCATGTTCGCGACATCCACTGCCTCGTTAACTGTGAGTCGCCCTCGCTAGTTGAGACAAGTATTATGACGTTACGTTTCTGGTACTATGATTTTTATTACTTTTTTCAACTTTTTGTTGATTTTAATTAAAGTTATCACACTTGCTACAATATTTTGCCTATCTTTCTCAAGGTCTCAAGTTGTCCATTGAGTTATCAATTAGTTTTGACGCTATATCTTGACAGACAAACAGGCAGGCGGTAGGCGTCCAGGATCTCCGCTGATAGTTGAAGCAGGAACTCAAGCAACCGGTTGCCATCGATAGAAACTTGAGGATCTTCGGCGGCGCGATTGAGTGGACGGCTTACCCAAATGGCCAGTTCATTTCAGGCGCTGCGCGTTTTATCGACAGTCTCGCGGTAGTGATATACTGAAGCTAGTAATTTTTTAAATAATGTTCTTCAAAATCACTGAAGCTTGCCCAATTTATGGAGTATCGAGACGAAAGACGACTTGTTCGAAAAGGCAGTTTCTTATGCAGAAGGTAGCGTTACTGATATTTTAAGTTTCGACTTCATTGACGATAAAATAGCGACACATTGTGAAAAAACACTGGAAATTTCGTCGTTACCATGGAAGCGAAACCTCAATACGGACTTTCTATAAAACGCACATTACTAGGGTGACAAGATAACCCAATCTACGACGCAAACCGAGTTCTCCATTGGTTGCTGAAAAGCCATTTTCTTATCTGTAACAGTAAAAACCAACAAGACTCTGTGTCCAATAATCCGTGGTTCTAGGTGAGTCAAAAAGTTAAAATGAGAAAGAAGCAGTGTGTGTTGGTTCCCAGAAAGTTTTTTCAGCACTCATGATTCAGACATACACCTGCATAAAATTTGGGAATTATTCAATAATAAAAAATATCTTTTTCTGTGCAGAATTATTAATTAGATTATATTAACAAAATGGACGATGGTCCAAAGAAAGGAAATATTGGCGAAAAAGCTTTAGTGGAATTAGAATCAAGCGTAGGTGAGTCAGTTTTGGATTTCGTTCAGTGGCAGTGATATTTGGTTTGTGATGAAATAAATCAACCTGTATTTTTAGCCAGCGGTTTTCAACCTCTATTGTGGTCCTCTAACGGAGTCGTTCAGCACTCATAGACTGACCCCCTGTTTTTCATTCCAGGGGTATTTACAGTGTTATTATGATTAGAATATTCTGAATGTTCAAAAAAGTAAAAACGCCCTATAAAAACCTTATCAAGCCACGAAACTGGGAGTTCTCTTGAAGTAAAAAGTAAAATCAGTTTTGCGCCCGCACTGCCACGACTGCTGGGTGGCCTTCTAGGAGGGCCATGGTTCTCCGATTGAGAACCGCCGATTATTAGACATTTTCAGTTCTATACACTGACGATTTAGACAAATTTTGTGCACGAACGACTGGGGATAAATAAATTATAATTAGATAAATAAATATTTGAAATATCTAAAAAGTTGAGAACTTTTTTTTTTATATACTGGGATAATCATGCCCTTTGTCAACGATTTCCGCAATATTTTCATATGAATTGAAAATTAAACAAATGATACAAGCTAAATGTTCTGTTCTGAATATTTTTCAGATGAACCCGAATCTCAAAAACTCAGTGCAACACCACACAGAAGTCAGATCAAAGGTGACGCTTCTGAAATACTAACTACTACAATAACACTCAAGATTTAAATATGTACCTGGAGCCTATTGTATTTCGAAAATGCTAACAATTTTTGAATTGAATAATTGGGTCTCCAGTGATTACGTAAATATACACCACAAGTTGGTTACGCCCCGTCAGGTAATTCAATCTGGTCCGCCTGATGATCCGTAAATAAAATTCTGTACATAAGATGTAACTGTATACGTCATACTTATATGGCCCGCCAGTCGACCGATCGATCACCTCGACCCCAGTAGTCGATCGCGTCTGGTGTTAAGTTAATTTATTAACAGATAAAAACAGTTTCATGCGGCGCCTATTTTATGTTTTGAAGCAGAACGAATACATGCGCAAATACTGATTTATTTAAGTATTTAAAATATTTAAGTCTGGGCAAGCCTGAAAGAACGTATTTATACGTAATAAATGAAATTTTCACCGCTGCCAAGGTTTAGAAATTAGCATGCCGAATATCATGTGTTTTGACGGAGAAACGATCCCCCAATACCTTTTGGGGTATGCGAAAGTTATTGTCTCACTCTCATACCCATACCAAGAGTAGTGCGGTAAAGTGTATTCGCAACGGTAGAAGTGGAATCATAATACCAATTTTCATAAATCGAAGTGAACGACGACTTTGCGGAAATTGTAAATCACATACTGAAATTGAAATTTGATCAGTCATGTAACATTTATTGTCTGAGAATACACTTACGACTAAAAATTAGGCAGGCCTCAGGTCTCAATTGTATGACTAGAAAAATGAATGACGAAAATTTACACGGGTACAATTACATAACCAAATTAACAAATTAAATGGAACATAAAATACAAGTATATTTACAAATTTTTGTGGCGATTTCATTTAAAAATGCGCTCACAGAGTCGAGCCTATTTGCTGCGGTGGAATTTTTCGTATGAAAGTGTGCAGACGTACAGGTATCTGCATATTTAGTACTCATTCATCTGTGTATGTAATTATTACCGATCAGTCGATCGCGAGCTATTTTGAAAATTTTAGTCGATTGCGGTCGAAAGCAGTTTGGCCACCTCTGGCGAACGTGAATAAAATTAATACTTATCCAGTAATATAAAAATTGCGTATTGAATAATCGTTTATTGCTTTTTTATGGAATTTGAAGAAAAAACAAAAGAGAAACCTGATAAGAAACAAAAATCAGCTCTTGAAGAAAAACCCATGAAGAAGCCAGCTAAATTAATACAATATACAATGCATTGTTTTTACATTTGAAACAATAAAAGAAACTATGATACATTGAAGGAACATTTTGTTTTCACTCTTTTTATAAACTGTTTCAGCGGGAGTTGCTGACAACAAGGCAGTTCCTTTTGGAGGTGAGTCTTTATTTTCATCGTGGCTTCCCATTTTCATATGATATAATGCCAGATCGAAATTGTTGAGCAAAGTACTTGTTATTTAAGGGATATTGTTTTTAGTTAAGCAATTAAATTGACTTCTTGGGTAAATTCAGCGGACAAATGCTACCATCTTATTTATCGAGCGTGTTGTTTCCAATTCGAACACTTTAATTTGTTCAAACTGCAGTAGGTTGTTGTTCAAATTAATTCATGAGTGTACTATGTTTCCACAGTTGTTCTGAAATTTTTACCTAAATGTAGTCAAATGTTATGTCTAGGACCGCTAGGAATAAATCTGATGCGATTTGAAGAAGAAATCGAACCAGAACATTATGAAGATGCTATTCAAGAAAGAAACCAACCACTGCACGATCAAAATGACATTCTAGAAGGTGAAATTTAATCTAAAAATGTAAACTTAAATTTTCCGATACTTACAAATGAGTTACTACCTACTTCTGTGATGAACCCTTTCTACAATACTTTCATTTTCTTTCTGAGGTTTTGAGTCAGTTATCCATGAGTTGGATCAGTTATAGCTTTCGCGATAAAGTTGTGCTCATACTTCTACATACTTTGCATAATCTAGCTTAATTTACTATAATAAAGTATCTAGATCAGTGGTTCTCGAACTTATTAAGCCGCGCCCACTTTTTAGAATTTTCCAAGTTCTGCGCCCACCTCAAAAATAACCAGCTAACAATATTCTACAAATAACAGATAGTAAGGCGAAAGTATGTTTTATTCAAAAAACACTCTGACAATACGTGGATGGAACGTAAATAATGAAATAAATAAAAAGTTTTGAAATTCAAATATCCAAAATAAGACGTGCAGATCAAATCTAACAAATTATTCTATTTTTAATTAGCTTAATTAAAGCCCCTCAAAAATTTAAACGATCTAAACGATTACATTGATAGGGTTAGTTTTCAAGTTGGCACCATACACAGTCTATTTTTCTAATATTTTTCAGAAATAGAGGTAGTCCGTCAAGATATTAGTAATTTGAGACACGAAGTTGGGGAACTTTGCAATAGCATGAACCAAAACGTTGAAAATTTACGTCTAGAATTCCGCGACAATATTGGTGCACTTCGCAATGGCATGTACCAAATTACGGCTTTGCTTATGGAGCAGAATCAACAAAGACAACACAGTACGAGAAATAAGCAAAAATATTTATCAATATCATTCACTGAATTAAAATATTCTAATTCTAATAGTGTTTAACACACCATACACTTGACATTATATTTCTTGTGTTTTAAAAATTGATAAACGTTTTTTTTTTATTTTCATGTTTCACTGTCTTCTGCTAAATAAAATGAAATAAAATATGAATTAACACATATAATTATACAACTACCATTAAGTAACCCTCAAAGTATTTTAAAATACATTCATGGTGTATATCATTTATTAAAACATCTTCTAATACATACAATTATTATTTTTCAGATCAGCAACCATCCGACGACATGGGGCAGCAACCACCAAGCGACATGGGGCAGAGCAACCGCGGTATAAAGTTTTTTTTTACATTTATTACCACAATCAAAGTTACTAAATTGATTGTGTTTGTTTGCATATATTGACACGTTTCATTTCAGCAATCTCAGGCAAAATGAAAATTTGGAATGGTTATGCATATATATTAAACAACAGCATACCCTGTTCAATTAGAGCAATGGAGCTCTCCTACAATAAAAACTGAAATTGTCAGCGATATTTACCTGAGTTTTCCTGAGTTCTAATTTCAACGTGTAATCTAACATTAATTTTTTTGTTTCCGTAGATCGCCAATAAGCTGCCTCTGCGAAAATTGAAGCTTTCGTGCGAAAACCATGTACAAATAAGCTGATGATTTTTTAAAATATATTCGTTTATTACAATTGTAATTTTCTGATTGATTAGTAACCATGTTTTTTATTATGTCATTGAGATAAAATATTCCCAAGAAGATTCTTAAATGATAGAATTATCACATCATTAAGTGATCAATGCAGAAAATTTATGAACACGAAATTCAACTCGTCTTTTTAGAAATAGTATCATTTATGACCCAGAAAGCATCAGTCAAAAAATAATAGAATATTATGTAAGGTAATTCTCGTTCTAAGAAATTGTTCCCATAAGTAAATGTAATAAAACAAATTCACAACAACAATCGAAATGAATCCCCAGAACGCCTATTTAAATTGATCTATTATGTTTCTATATATAATATTAATAATTTTATGTCATTGCAATCTTAAAATCCAACAGCTTCATGCAAATTCAGAATTTGTTGTGTTGTGATTGAACAATTGTATTTTAACTTTTGCTTAAATGCTGTATTTCAATCCAAATAAATCCACTAAGTTCAAAGTTGGTATTTTTGGGATTTGCGATTGGCTTCCAGGATGCAGAATGAGAAATGCATTACAGCCTTAGAAATCTTGCTCCATCACAACAGTAAAGCACTTACAAATAGTCAGAATATTAACATTGCTTGGCTCTTTTTGTAAAGTTTACATGGCTGTTACATGGCTGTAAGGAAGTAGTGTCTTATGGTTTACATACAACATGTTTCAGGGTGTAATCGGCGAGTTAATGTATATATAGTAAATTTGAAAAGATAAAATATTGTAGTTCATGATCTATAGTTAAAACAATAATTGAATAAAATAAAAAATTTTGGAAGTTTAAAAATATACGGGCAACTAATCTATTTTTTACTAAGATTCATTAGAACAAAAAATAATAACAACTTGAAAAGCAAGAAGAGGAAACCATATCAAAAAATTACTTGATGATCATAAAGAATTGTGGTTTCAATTGATGTGCTACCATGGAAAAATTTAGAGAAGATACTACTGTGCTTTTCATATATTTTTGTCTGTTATCTATTAGAAGAGCTTTGGTGATAACACAGTCTATGTTTAATTAACCGATTTGTAAACTTGGGTTGGTGTTGTCATCATTTAAGTCATCAGCGTCGCAAATATAACAAGGCGCACATTTAACTCATTCAAAGCATTCACCTCATCCTGTGTGATAGATCCCTTACTGGGTATCACTGATAAGACGACATTGTCCCGGTTAATATTGCAAGGAAAAATATAACTGCAATGCAGCGAGAAACATTTTTTTCATAGCAAACCATTAGGTTGTTTAACGCTCTCTGATGTACATAAGAAACAAAATGATAGTATTCAGTTGAACTACGGTTCACAGATACGGAAACCGCAATGGACAATATCATCGTAACATACTAAGTAGTAACAATCTTCAGTGTTATTCTATTCAGCATCAACGTTAATCAAGGTCAAGATATCAATCTCTATCTCTCTCTTTGTATTAATTGTTTCAGATTCAATCCATTTCAAATAACATTGTGGGTACATACAATAAACCACAGAAATGCGATTATTTTCTTTATTTATCATTTAAAGACTAATTTCCCTATGACCCCCAAATATTAATCCAGGTTGCTGGCCACGTCATTTCACTTTTCAAATTATACTTTGCCATATATTCAGCATATTTTGATATGTTTACAAGCAAAGCAAACCTAAATCTTTCACAAACTTGGCAATAAATGTTTTATATTATTTATTATATGTTTTATATCATATATTAAAGACCTCCGGTATAATACCTTTATATTTTAGAGATTAAGTTCGCCGGCTAATAGCGTCCTAAATTTCAGCCCGGCATATATTTTTGTAATCGTGATGGCTTGAACTATATATAGTCTAACGTCAATACGCATTCACTGTCGCGTAATGCACCACCATAATTGTAAATTGTTTCAGTAGCATTGGCATGTCAGTGATCGCCTCTACCTTTTCTCAAAGACCAGTCTCGATTACTTCAACGAGAGTCCTTTAAGTCTATCAATAATTGACCACGTCAACCTCATTTCTGATTGTTAAAATATTTTAAATGTTTGATCCACCTTTGAATATTTTAATTTAGACGTTTTCCGATATAGAAAAGCCTTTGGCCTGTCCATGCTCGATGTACGGGTTAGTGATCTTGGGTTATGTGTTTCAATATTTGAAGAACCATTGCTTCCGCTGAGCATTTCATGTCATCATTATCACAAAGATAATAAGTCGCGCATTTGACTTTGAAATGATTCAAAGTTTTCAGCTTACCCTGCAGCCTGCGTGATCCATTCCTGGTTATCTACATAGACATGACGACAACTACGGTTTGCAAACATAGAAAATGCAAAATACAAACTAGTAGCCATTTCTCGGCTTCATTTCCTTTAGCAGCAACGTTAACTAATGTCAGATACTAAATCATTGTCTCTACGTGATGTCAATTTTCACCCATATTTAAAGCGCAATCAGAGCGTCACGCCATGTTTACTGTACGAAAACGCTTGTACCATACTAAATAGATGATTATTTAATGTACATTTGATGTCATTCGTTTTCTAGCTGAGTCACTTGTCTAGCTTTACTGTTCGTCTGTGGTCACATTTGTGAAAATGTACATGACTGTCAAATATTTAAAGATTAAATTTTGTACTTGTAAACTGAATTTTTTATGATGACGGGCAAAGATAAGTTCATTTCCAGTTGAATTCAAATGAGACAAAATATGCTACAATGTGTTGGTTAACATCTCAATTGTTTGCTTAAATGCGAAACTTTGTGCCGTTTTATCAATGACACTAAATACATGGTACTGTGCATATAACAGGTATGAACATCAAATGCAAAGTACTAGATCTGCTAAACAAATTCGGCGATCTGCGCCAAAAATTTATTTTTGTTTTATCTAGTAAAGTTTTAATTTTATTTGAATGTTTTAAATT